ACTTAAAACAATTGCTATTAATTACACAGGCCAACCAAGAAAATGGTGCAAACGATTTTAAAGCTGTTTTTAAGTATATTTGGGGCGCTGATTTCAAAAATGAGATTGTTTTTTTTTCTATGAGCTTCAGTTTTCAAGATGTGATATATATGATATATAAGGAATGAAAGTACAAAATGGTAATACAATTCAGAATGTTATTTTCGCGAAAAATACTATAAGAATCAGCTCTAACATTTGATGCACCAAACGAAAAAAAAATTTTTGTAGGCCTGTGTTATTCAATTCTGGTACGGGAAGTGCCAGCAATTTGCCTTAAGGCACGATGCCATGCAACACTAGTTAACTTCCCGTAGGGCAATTTATAGTAATCGCAAAAAAATCGAAAATGAAAATTTTTATAGATCTTTAGGTTTCAAAGGTTTCTGAACATTTTGGCATACCTTAGAAAAAATGGATGTATGTGTGTGTGTGTGTATGTATGTGCGGATACAAAATTTCGTCGACGATTTCGGGAACACGGATCAACCGATTTGAATAATTCAAAAAACATTCGATTCGTATTGATAAGGAGACGCGCTGATTAGTTTTTGGCGAAGGCAGGTCTAGCCGTTCCGAAGATACGGGGCAAAAAGTGCCGAAAACGGTAACTCAGTTTTTAAGAGAACGGAGTGTCCGATTTGAATAATTCAAAAAACATTTTACTTGTATTGACAAGATGAAGAATCGATAAAATTTCCATGAAGGTAGGTCTAGCGGTTTCGGAGATATGGAGGAAAAAGTAAAAAAATGAGCCATTTGGCGGTCAAAAATGATCATTAGACATATGCACATCAAATTATCAGATATTTTATAGAGATTTTAACAATAAGTATACATTTTGTTAACATTCCTATGGGTTCCGTACCAATGCTTATGCGTTAGACGGCGGCGCGGCACTGTTCAAGCAGTACGATTGCTTTGAAAAAAAGTTCAGAATTTCCAAAATATGTCAAATGAAGAAAACATTTTTCTTTTCAAAAAAATTTTGTTTCCAAAAAAAATTTATTTTTTTCAAAAAAGTAATTCTTTGTCAAATTTATAGTTTCTCAAAAATCTAATTTTTTCGAAATAATTTTTTTTCAAAAATGTTATCGTTTTTTAAAAAATAATAATTTTTGGTACGCGAAGTTGCAGCAATTTGCCTCTGCCGCTCATAATATGCCGCTTACAAATGCCAATACTTATTTGCCGCCTTAAGGCACGATGTTTTAATTGCCTTAAGACAGAATTCCACTTACAGCTAGTTTATCGTCATTTCGCCTAGATGTTTCTACTTCTCACCAATACACACCAATACTTCCCATGAATCGTTTCGTATGAATGCCTGTTGTGCCTTTTCTTGTTATTATTTTAAGACAAGACACACAAGTATCGTGTGCATCGTATACCGACTACCGACTACCGACCGAGTTTAAATATAAATATATACAAATAGTTGGAAACAAAATGATGCTCTTTGGCATAGTCCGATGACGTCTCTCTCTTCAGTTTGGTAGAAATAGTTGACGAGAGTCGAGGATTATTGGTCAAGTGGTTGATCGTGGTACTCGGATCGAACCCTGGCCGAGTGATAAATTGATAGAGACTTGGAAATTAACTAACAAAGAAAGGTAGAGAATAGTTGTGGTCAAGTGGGTTGGTTGATTAAAAAGGTGGTTGTGGTACTCGGATCGAATCCTGGTCGAGTAGTAAATTGATACAGACTTGAAGCTTAACTAACAAAGAAAGGTAGAGAATAGTTGTGGTCAAGTGGTTGGTTGATTAAAAAGGTGGTTGTGGTACTCGGATCGAATCCTGGCCGAGTAATAATTTATATAGACTCGATTTGAAAAATTGTGCTCAAAAAGGAATTGCAAGTGGCCAAATGTAGACTAGTTTACAAAACCAACAACTAAAAATTTAGGTTCAAAAGTGTTGACAAATGTTGTATTAATTGATATTGACTTAAACTAAAAAAGGTAGATACGATTGGTGTTAGAGTTAAGGTTGATTAAAGGTGGTTGTGGTACTCGGATCGAATCCTGATCGAGTCAGTGTGGAATCCATATAAAGTTGAGTTTAACGAATAAGTTCACATAGGAGGAATATGCGATGGAATCTCAAAGATTCAAATAAATCCTGAACTAATTCATGTCTAAGTCTGATTTTTTTCTAGAATTTTTACTTAAAATTGTAAATTTACAATAATTTAACAGATAAACTCATAAGGAGATTATTAACGTCGACTTGCGAACTTTGTTTTCTTGACTTTTCAAGTTACTCTGAATCATCTGGGACTAAATTTCGAAAGAGTGTTTATAAAGTCAACAATAACTAGCTGTAAGTGGAATTCTGTCTTGAGGCAATTATGGCATCGTGCCTTAAGGCAAATTGCTGGAACTTCCCGTACCATAACGAAATGTTCGAGGAATACTGAATGTTTTCAAATAGATTATTATAAATATTGTAACATTGTTTAATATTTATAAGAATTATATAAACTGAATTGCACAGAGTTGAAATTATTTGTAAAGTATATTAGAACTATAGTCAGAATTAATAATAAAATCTGAAATATTTTCGATATACAAAAAACTGAAAAAAAAAAAAAAAAAAAAATGGAACAAAATTTTTTTTCCAAAATCGATTATTTTGTTAAGACAAGCAGAAAGTTCTTTGAATCATTTGAATCGGACGCTTAGTTCTCTCAAAAACTGCCATTTTTTACACATTTAGCTCCGTATCTTCAAAATGACTGGGCCTGCCTTTGCCAAAAACTAATAAACACTTCTCCCAATCATTACTAATTGAATGTTTTTTAGATCATTCAAATCGGATACTCCGTTCTCTCAAAAATTCGATTTCTATTTTCTGCACTCTTTGCTCCGTATCTCCGAAACGGCTGGACCTGCCTTTGCCAAAAACTAATCAGCTCTTTTCCCTATCAATAGGAATCGAATGTTTTTTGAACCATTCAAATCGGTTGATCCGTGCGCCCTAAAACGTGACTGGAAATTTGTATCCATACATACATACACACACACACACATACACACACACACACACACCACACATACACACACACACACACACACACACATCCATTATTTCTGAGGTATGCCAAAACGTTCAGAAACCTTCAAAACGTCGAGAAATGTTAAAATTTTCAATTCCGATTTTCGGCCCATTACAATAACTTACCCTACGGGAAGTTAAAATTATAAAAGGTGGTTGTTTTTTTTTTGGTTTGGTTTTTTGAAGATGGTTTTTTGCTTGTCGACGTGTGTCGCCTATAGACGACATCCAGTGTTTTTCTTACTCTTGCTCTAATATTATATTTATGTTTTATGTCACTCAGCAGAATCACTTTCGATCTTTTTAAATTTTGTTCGTCAGTAGAGTTCTTTTCGACTTGTTTTGCCTTTTGCTCGTCAGTAGAGTCCTATTTATACTTATTTTAGACTCTTCTTTTAGTTTGCTCATCAGTAGAATTCTCTTTTTCATTATTCAGTCAATGTAATTATTTTAGTACGATCGTCAGTAGAGTCCTTTTTGATGGTATTTACTTTTTGTTCGCCAGTAGAGTTCTTTCCGAACTTTTTAACATTTTGCTTGTCAATAGTTTCTTTTTATATTTCTTTTATTTCTTTCTATTTTTTATTCTTCTACATTTTCCTTGTCAGTAGAATCATTTTTTTTTTACATTTTGCTCGTTAGTACAGCTATTTCGAATCTTTTCAATTTTGTTCGCATTTTAATAATTTATCAATTTGCTTGTCAGTAGAGTTCTTTTTAATATTATATCAGATCGCTTGTAAGTAGAGTTTCTGTCGATATTTTTTACATTTTGCTTCTCAGTAGAGTTCTTTGAATATTTTTATTTTGCTCGTCAGTAGAGTCCCTTTTTTATTTTTTTATTTTTATAAAATAACGATCTTAGGATTTATTTTATCTTTCAGTCTAGTTTCCATTTGTTTGTCAGTAAAGTCCTTTCAAATATTTTTACCCTTTGAACAACAGTACAGTCCTTTTTTATTTATTTTTTACATTTTGCTCGTTAGTAGAGTTCCTCCGAATTAGTTCTTCATTTTGCTTGTCAGTAGAGTCCTTTCTAGTCTTTTATACATTTTGTTCGTCAGTAGAGTCCTTTTTGATTTTATTTTTCATTTTATCGTTTGAAGAGTCTCTGTTATATTTTCTTCGGCAGTAGAGTTCCTTTTCACTTGTTTAAGTCATTGTACTTTTTATTTCATTTTGGTCGTCAGTAGAGTTTCTTTTAGTCGCTGTACTCTTTTATTAGTTTGTTTGTCAGTAGAGTCCCTTCTCTACTTGTTTTAGTTTTCTTACTCATTCATTAGTTTGTTCTCATGTCAGTAGAATATCTTCTCAATTGTTTCAGTTTTTGTACTCTTGTTTTAGTTTGATCGTCAGTAGAGTCTCATTTGATCTTTTTTACATTTTGTTCGTTTGTAGAGTCTTTCCCGACTTTTTCGTCAGTAGAGTCCCTTTTATTTATCTGTGACTGAAATACAGGATTTGATAGAAAATTGAAATATACCATGTCAGCCATATGGGTCTGACACTATAAAGTACTATGTGAGCCAAGTCAAATACACACGATTTGGTAGAAGGAGAAAAAAAGTTTTATCATATGTGTCAGACACTCAAAATATCGGGCATATATACTTAGCACTGCTTGTTGGAAAAAAAGTTTGTGTGATGAAATAATTAGTGTAGGGCCAGTCATATATCAGTGACATAAAAAATGGCTGCAAATTTTGACAAAGAAATTTTTTGATACACTAAGTAATCTTGATGCATTTCGGACTAAATACCTTAATAAAGTTACCATGGAAAAAAATTATTATATCATCGTGGCGATCAACGTGTTAATAATAACAATTATGAAAAATAATTAAAAACTTGTGAAATGCTTTTAATTAACATTATTTAAATCAACTTTTTATCATTTTTTCTAGACTTCAACGACCGCAACAGAAGCCGCTCCAGACGTCTGCTAGTCCCTACCAACAACACCACCAGCTCCTCCACCAACAATACCACTACAACCACCAGCTCCTCCACCAACCGCCGTTCACCTCAAAGAAGCACCAGCCTGTGCAAACCAAACCACCATCGCCCCACAATAACCCAACGACCACAACCAGAAAACCAATCACCGACCCTAAAATCCACCACCAGTCATGATCACCAGGAGAACCACCGAGTAGACGTCCTCACCCAGAGGACGAAGGATGCCCTTCTGAAAGTCGAAAAATTGAAGATCAGGAGAGTGGTTTCTTCTAAGGTTACAAGTGGTGAAAAAAAGACTACGGTTGAGAGGAAGAGCCAGGTTGCTGCCATGTGCGAGGTTGAGGAACAGAAACCTATTTCCATCCTGAAGAGGAAGAGTGGTACTTGTACGTTGCCTGTCACGTTTTCACCAGAAGTAAGTGGAAAGGAATTATGAAATTAATTTTTTAAGTTTTGGTTAACTTTATTTTACCTTATAAGATAAAACCAACATTTTTAACTTGTGTAGGGTTATGGTGGATCAGTGGTTTGAACATTTGAAGGAGTGTAAAAGCAATATAGCGCCAAACTTTACTCTTTTATATATGACTATTACATCAATATCTGTTGCCGCCAGTACAACCAAACTTCAAGGTTTACCCATAGTATAATCCAATTCGAGACATTGTTTGGCCTTTCGACATTGTATGTCTTACAACTAGTTTTTTAGTTTTTAATTAAGTTTTAGGCTAAATTTTAGTTTGTCCCATGTTTTCTTGAATGTAAGACTTTAGGAGCTCTTTAAAACCCGATAAATGCTTCTTATCAACAAGATACAAGCAAAAACTTTTGAAGCCGAAAATTTTCTATAAATTGCTAAATTTAATCTTTTATTTATTATACAACTTGACTGAAGGCAAAATGCCACTCACAACTAAGTAGTAGATAAAATAAGTTTTAGTCTAAATTTTACTTTGATGTCTTATTCACTGGTGTCAATGATCTGTTTCACTTTTGTGCATTTTTCCTATTTCATTATGCGAAATCTGCATTTTGCAAGCAAGTTTTAAATAGTTTCTCATGTGTAAAGTCTTCCCTAGACTATGACGAATATATCAAGATTAAAAGTAGCCAAATCGGTTCAGCCGTTCTCGACTTTTATTAAATTTTCTAGAATTTTTTTGGGCGTACAACTTTGCCGCCGCCGATTTTATAAGGCGAGTTCTTTATAATAGTGGCGGCAACAAAGTTGTAACAAGAAAAACTGACGAGCAAACTGAAAAAGAGTACAAAAGGGACTCTACTGACGAGCAAACTAGAAAATTGTACAAGGACTCTACAACAAATGAAAAAGGGACTCTACTAGCGAACAAACTAAAATAAAGAGAATAAAGTCTACAACAAAAAGACTGAAACAAGTGAAAAAAGACTCTACTGACATACAAATTAAAAAAGACAACAAAAGGGACTCTACCGACGAGCAAACACCAAAAAAGTACGAAAGGGACTCTACTGACGAGCAAACTAAAATAAAAAAGGAGTACTATGACTAAAACAAGTGTAAAAAGGGACTCTACTGACGAACACACTAAAACATGAGTACAGTGACTAAAACAAATAAAAAAGGGACTCTACTGACGAGGAAACTAAAATGCAGAGAACAAAAAAAAAATTAATCGAAATTCAGTGAAAAATATTCATTGACTGAAAACGCGATAAAAAATGATTCGTTTAGTAAAATTGTGGCGATATCAAGCAGGCTGTTTTTGATTTGTAAAAAACAATCGGACATGTCATGTATATTTTTGATATCGAAATATTTTTATAGTTAATAAATTTATATATTTTTTTATTGTTGGGAGTTTCTAATTTGATATATTATCATAATCATAACAACTCCCACATTGGTGACTCACGACGATGGAGATGAAGATAAAGGAGTTTTATTTTTCGAAGATTTAAGAAAAATTGATTTTGACGCAGCACCATAATCACTGGTCTTCAGTGACGTCCTATAAGGTATGTCCAGTCCAATCCATCATAGTTAACGCACTTACTATCTGGATCAGACTTCCGAGGTTACTCATTTGGTATACCCAGACCTCAGTGTTTATTGCTGACAGAAAAAATAATTTGGAGCCTGAACTTCTCATTGGAATGCAATTCAACCTCTCTTTCTCTGTTAACTCAACAAATCGTCTTATAATGCTACCTCCCATTATCGGTGACAACGACGAATCAAAACAAAATTTGACATAATTTATTGGATTCCACAATTCTGGACTCTTATGTCAAAGAAACCAATGATCCTGATTTGGATAAAGAGCCAACTTCTTTCTCTGATCGGAACTCATCAGATACGAATGCAACGCTTGCAGAAATGGAAACTGTACCCATAAATTATGCATTCTAAACATTAAGTTATTCTGATATAACTAATACCCATTAGATCGAGAACATTATGCAGAATATGGAGTTGATGGCAGGTCAAATCACCACATACGGTGGATCTGCTGACGAAACATGGAAATTTATAATTGACCAGTATTACAACACTGGTCTGCTATAATCTGCTTTCCCACCACATTTTTATAACGTGTTTCCCTGTATTTTTTTTTAAACTGTGAGATCAACACTGGGCAGGGAGTGTGTGGCGATATCAAGCAGGCTGTTTTTGATTTGTAAAAAACAATCGGACATGTCATGTATATTTTTGATATCGAAATATTTTTATAGTTAATAAATTTATATATTTTTTTATTGTTGGGAGTTTCTAATTTGATATATTATCATAATCATAACAACTCCCACAAAATTATTATTACGGATTAAGGATTTGTGGTAGGAGGGTGACAATTTAGGGTTGTAAGTGAACCATATATTGCAAATACACAGAAATCATTAGGGCGAGTCAAACTGTTCCAAATTTTTGCATCAAAGTGTATAAAACATTATATACAATTTTAGTAAATTTTATCTAGTTTCTGCCAAGCTAATCAAATTAGAGTGTCCGATACAAAATTTTTGAGTTATTCAAAAAAATGTCCCCAAGCCATATATGTATTGCAAAAACACAAAAACATTAGGGCGAGTTCAAACTATTCAAAGTTTTTTTTTTTTCAATATGTTTAAAATTTATCAATGTGTATAAAACGGTTTATGACAAATTATAGTACATTTTATCTAGTTTCTGCTAAGCTAACTTAAAAAGAGTGCCTCGGACAAATTTTTTAAGTTATTCAGAAAAATGTAAAAAAATATCTCCAAACCATATATTATAAATATTCAAAAACCATTAGGGCTAGTTCAAACTGTTTAAAAAATTTGTATCAAAGTGTGTAAAACATTATATACACAATTTTGGTAAATTTTATGTAGTTTTGTAAGGTGTATTAGTAATGGTTTTGATGCAATTTTATAGGTCTTTTCGAAAAAATACGATATACCAATTTTCAACTACTTATCACATCATTTGGCTGAGATATCAGTGAAAACATATGAAAGTGGCCCCTTTTTCAAACTCACTTTTGTCGGAAATATAAAAGATCTTATCACTTAGGGATGTAAATAATGTGTTTTCATATATCATTTTTCCCCAGGTGGTTTTAGAGTAATGTAATGATATAATATTATTCATTTTAAAATACATCTTTATCGATAATGGACTCTACTGACGAGGAAACTAAATTACAGAGTATAAAGAAAATTTTAATGAAAATTTAGTGCAAAATATTCATTGACTTATTAGAATTATTATTACGAATTAAGATTAAAATTATTATTACGAATCAGGAATTTGTGATAGGAAGGTGAAAATTTAGGGTTGCTTAGGTGTTTAACTAAAATAAAATAAATTGGGTGATAAATCCTTAAACTAGATGTAAGTGGAATTCTGTCTTGAGGCAATTATGGCATCGTGCCTTATGGCAAATTGCTGGAACTTCCCGTACCGTAACGAAATGTTCGAGGAATACTGAATGTTTTCAAATAGATTATTATAAATATTGTAACATTGTCTAATATTTATAAGAATTATATTAACTGAATTGCAGAGTTGAAATTATTTGTAAAGTATATTAGAACTATAGTCAGAATTAAAAATAAAATCCGAAATATTTTCGATATACAAAAAACTAAAAAAAAAAAGGAACAAAATTTCTTTTTCCAAAATCAATTATTTTGTTAAGGCAAGCAGAAAGTTCTTTGAATCATTTAAATCGGACGCTTAATTCTCTCAAAAACTGCCATTTTTTACATATTTAGCTCCGTATCTTCAAAATGGCCGGGCCTGCCTTTGCCAAAAACTGATAAACACTTCTCCCAATCATTACTAATTGAATGTCTTTTAGATCATTCAAATCGGATACTCCGTTCTCTCAAAAATTCAATTTCTATTTTCTGCACTCTTTGCTCCGTATCTCCGAAACGGCAGGACCTGTCTTTGCCAAAAACTAATCAGCTCTTTTCCCTATCAATAGGAATCGAATGTTTTTTGAACCATCCAAATAAACCCTAAAACGTGACTGGAAATTTGTATCCATACATACATACACACACACACACATCCATTATTTCTGAGGTATGCCAAAACGTTCAGAAACCTTCAAAACGTCGAGAAATGTAAAAATTTTCAATTCCGATTTTCGGCCCATTACAATAACTTACCCTACGGGAAGTTAATAAACTTATACAGTTAGTGGTGTAAATAATGTGTTTTCATATATAATTTTATCTCGGGTGGTTTTAGAGTCGGAGAAGTCCCAACATGCAAGTCGTCAAGGTATATTGAAAAAACGTTTGTCGATGGAAGAAGTCACAAATATTCAACAATCGGAAACCAGAGGACGTCGGAGTTCTTTGGATATCACAGCCAGATCTTCAGGACATCATCATCATCATCATCATGGCATTTTGAAGAGAAAAACCAGCAGGAGCGAGGATGAAGACTTTAACTACACAGTTGAAGACTATGCCGGAGATTCACCACCTCACGGTAATAATAATCAATTTTTTACTAACCTAGATTTTAGTATAAAATTTCAAGATTCAAAGAAGTTTTTTAATATTAGTTCAACCCGTAAACAGGTTTTTAACCGGTTCCGAATTTTTATAAGCGAAACTTTTGCCCGTATACAAATATTTGACGGGAAGCTTAGTGTGATTAAAGATGAATATATAAGGATGATTTCAGATTGGATTTATTCAAAAATTTTATATAAGGCTATATTAAACTGTTTATATGATTCGGTAGTAAACTTTATCTAGTTTCTGCTAATCTAAATAAAAAAGAGTGGCCTGGATAAAAAATTTGTGATAATTAAAAAAATGTAAAAATTGTCCGGAATTTTGGTATAGAAAATTGATTAGAATTATGAAATGTTATTAGGACGAGTTGGTGTTGGATTTATACAAATTTATATATAACTATATTAAACTGTGCGTAGGGAAATGTAGTAAATTTTATCTAGTTTCTGCAAAGTTTAACGAAAAAGTGTCTTGAACAAAATTTTTGAGTTATTTAAAAAAATGTAAAAAAATGTTCCGAAACTTTGTATAGAAAACTTAGGACAATATATAAGGGCGAGTACAAACTAGTTATCTTTTCTCCAAATATTCATATAGGAGTATATAAGATAGTTTTTATGGATTTGTGGTAAATTTTATCTAGTTTCTGCTAAGATGAATTAAATTGAGTGTCTTGGACAAAATTTTTGAGTTATTTAGCAAAATGTAAAAAAATGTCCCAAATCGTGGCTTGGTAGGACAAATTTATATTACGATAGTATATAAAGGCGAGTTTGCATTGGATTTATACAAAAAAATTATATATATATATATATATATATATATATATACTAAATTAAACTGTGTTTAGGGAAATATTATAAATTTTATCTAGTTTCTGCTAAGCTTACTAAAAAAGAGTGCCCGAACTAAAATTTTTGAGCTATTTAGCAAAATGTAAAAAATGTCCCAAGTTTTTGTGTAGAAAATCAAGGGCCATATATAAATGCAAATTTGCATTGGATTTGTTCAAAATTTTATATAAGACTGTATTAAACTGTATTTTTTCTATCGCAGTATATAAGATTGTTTTAATGGATTCGTAGTAAATTTTATCTAGTTTCTGCTAAGATAACTAAAAAGGAATGCCAGATACAATTTTTTTGAGTTATTCAGAAAAATGTAAAAAATGTCCTCAAACTTTGTAAGGAAACCTCAGAACAATATATAAGGGGGAGTACAAACTAGTTATTTTTTTCTCAAAATTTTCATATCGGAGTATATAAGGTTGTTTTTATGGATTTGTAGTAAATTTTATCTAGTTTCTAATAAGCTAAATTAAAAAGAGTGTATTGGATCAAGTTTTCGAGTTATTCAAAAAATCTTAATGTACCAATCCTAATGTACAAATCCTGGCCTGGTATGGCAAACTTATACTAGAGCAGTATAGAAGAGCGAGTTCATATTGGATTTATTCAAAATTTTCATATAAGACTGTATTAAATTGTGTAAATGGGATTTTAGTAAATTTTATCTAGTTTCTGCTAAGCTAACTTAAAAAGAGTGTCCTGAACAAAAATGTAAAAAAATGTTCCCAAACCATATATTGTAAATACACAAAAACATTAGGACTAGTCAAACTTCAATAAAATTTTGTACCAAAGTATATAAGACAGTATATATAGAATTTTAGTAACTTTTATCTAATTTCTGCTAAACTAACTAAAAAATAATGTCTCGGACAAACTTCTTGAGTTATTCAGAAAAATGTAAGAAAATGTCCCCAAACCATACAAATATGCAAAATTCATTAGGGCGAGTTCAAAGTATTCCAAAATTTGATTTGTGTGTAAAGCAATTTGTGTATAGAACAATTTATATAGAATTTTAGTAAATTTTATCTAGTTTCTGCTAAGCTAAACAAAAAAGAGTGTCCTGGACAAAATTTTTGAGTTATTCAGAAAAATGTAAAAAAATGTCCCGAAACCATGTATTGCAAATATGCAACATACATTAGGGCTATAGTCACACTACTCAAAAATTTTGTATCAAAGTTAAGACAATTCATATAGAATTTTGATAAATTTTACGCAAAATTCGTTAGGGCGAGTTCAAACTACCCAAAAAATTTGTATCAAAGTGTATAAAACAATTTATATAGAATTTTAGTAAATTTTATCTAGTTTCTGCTAAAGTAACTAAAAAATGATGTCTCAGACAAACTTTTAGAGTTATTTAGAAAAATGTAAAAAATGCTCAGAAATTGTAATATATAATAAAGAGAGTTATTCAGGAAACGAAGTATAAATAAAAACAAATTTATTTTTATTTTTGTAATAACCTTATTAGTTTTTGCTAAAACAATATTATTAGATACTTATTAAAAACCATTAGAAAATATCTATTTATCTAAATATGTAGTACTTACATAATTTTATTAAAAATCATTAGAAAATATCTAATTATCTAATCATGTAGTACTTATATAATGTAATGTTCTGTAATAACACGATCATACGTGCTTTTGATCAAAATATGAATTCATTGTTCAATGTTGATCGAAGTCCAAGATCTTTACATGAACGCGGAAGACGCCATTCCTAGAATTGACACGTACAATGTATAATATATAGAGTCAGAATTATTTGTATTAACCAGTGATGTCTTAGTCAAAAGTCTAGCCGAGTGATGATGTATTAAGAGTATGTCTTAGCACGAATCTATGCTAGTTTGTGAAGTGAAGTTATTAAAGATTAAATAAAGTTATAATCGAATTTAGATTCAGTGTTTGTATTCTACTTTGCGTAAAGACATCTTTCAGCCTATACCAATATAAAGTGCTCACGGTTCTGAGGAGACTCATACCAGTGTTGTTATTTTCTATTATAAACTCTAAGCTCTGCCCACGGCACCAGAACAAGGTTGGACTGATCTAGCACCCCTTGGAGAGTGGATCAATCTACATTTGGAACCAACCCAATCCAATCAACCCTACAACAACAACTCATAACATTTCAGTAAATACTAATCAAAGTCAAACGACAAGAGTACATAAAGTTTACATGTTAAGTATTTTTCATTCCGAACAATTTTAATACAAATTTAAATTATATATATATTCTCTATATATTTTTTATGGTATTTTTTTAGGTATTCTCAAAGGTGGTATATCCACAGAAGATTGTTGTGGAGTGATGCGTCCAATTTTAAAAAGGAGAAGCCACTCCGAAGACCACAGGGATAAATCCAGGGATTCTTCGCCTGAACCCCATCATGGAATTTTGAAAAAAGCCAGTGACCATTCAGGGGGCTTATCCTACTCCGAAGGTAAAGACAAAAAAAAAAAAAAATAAGCCACCAACCAATTTTGGATTTTATATACATCTTTTCTCTCAGGTTGTCTCCAGTACCAGCTCAACCAATCCTTCGACCCGGTCAAACCAATTTTGAAAAAAAAGAGTCTAAGCGAAGAAAGTGCTGCAGCTTCATCTTTAGACCTGGAAGCCCCACGTCCGATATTAAAAAAAAAATCGTCCACCGAAAGTGACGAGGCTGATGAGTACAACAAACCGAGGAAGCCTATTTTGAAGTCCAGGAACTCGTCCAGGAGGGATTCTCCAAAAAGGGGATTTGTTGAAGGTGCAGCTCTTCCACAGGATCTTGCTGCAGCTTTAAATGAAGTTGTCCAGAGACGAAGTACTGGAGGAAGTGGTTCGACAAATTTGCAGAGAACAAAATCTGCTGCTGCTGCTGATTCTGAGTTGGCGAGCATTTTGATGAAGAGACGGAGCATGACTGATGATCAAGGGGTAAAAGATAGAATAATAAATCTCCTACATATTTATCACTCCTTTTACATTTTTCCATTAACCACTCATTTCTATCAATCAAGTTCTAACGAGACTTTAATTGAAAGATCCAAAGTCTTTTACAATCTCAAGTTATTCGACTCTAATATGTCTATTACTACTTTTATCTCCAGCCTTTGATTGCTGTCGACAACCACAACCATCAAAACTTAGACAACGAGACATCTACATCCAGAAATAACTCATCGTCTCCTACACCAGTTACTGAAAGTATTGCTGAAAGGATCTCCAGGTTAGTCGGAGGAGCTTCTAGTGGTTTGGAAAATGGGTCAGGTGGTGCTGTTCCTAGAAGAAGGGCTGCTGATAGGTTCAGGACACAACCTGTTACCTTTAACGAGATGGTGGCATTAAACGAGTAAGTAGATTTATTTTTTTGTGTATATGTAAGGTTAGGTTAGGTTAGTTTTGGTGTTGAGGTATTCGAAAAGGATTTCCAAAGCGATATTGATATAATATATAGACAAAGAGTTATAGATTAGTTTCTAATGTATATATCTATATATTATATTATATTATATGTATGGTCAGGTTAGGTTAGTTTTGGTGTAGGGATTTACGATGAGGTTTTTCTAAGGTGATATATAAATAATTTGTGGACAAAGAGTTGTAGAGTAGTTTGCAATGTTTATATATATATATATATATATATATATATATATATATATATATATATATATATATATATATATATATATATATTTATTTATTTATCTATGTATGGTTAGGTTAGGTTAGTTTTGGTGTTAAGTTATACGAAGAGGTTTTTTAAAGGCAATACTTGAATAATATATAGACAGAGAGTTAAAGACTAGTTTCTAATGTATATATATGTATATATATATACATATTTATTTATTTATTTATTTATCTATGTATGGTTAGGTTAGGTCAGTTTTGGTGTTGAGTTATACGAAGAGGTTTTTTTAAGATGATACTTGAATAATATATAGACAAAGAGTTATAGACTATTTTGTATATATATATATATATATATATATATATTTATCTATGTATGGTTAGGTTAGATTCTTTGGTGTCGAGATATACGATGAAGTTTTTCTAAGACGATACTTAAATAATATATAGATAAATATTGATAGTCTATTTTCTAATGTTTCAAACGTTCCGATATAAATTCCTATCTCATCATCAGTGCATCTGCAAATTGATATAAGCTAAGAAATTATAAGAAAATTGGTAAAATGTTATTTATATATAGAAAAAAGTTATCAAAAATACAAAATTAAAATAGTATAAGTAGTATATTTAGATTGTGCTCGATGAGACCTTTCAAATGATACCCAACATGTAAAAAGTTGCTCCAAAATTGCCTTTAGGCATGTTGCTCTTTCAGTGCAGAATAATGTTAAATTTTTATTTGTTTTTTAAATCATTTTTTTACAAAACTATATAAATAAAAAATGAGTATAATTGTTAATTTTATATAAAATATTTAAGTAATATATAATAATATATGAATAAATAATACATAATATACAATATAATATAAATAATGTTAATTTTTGTTGAACAAGTATTTTTAAAGTTTGAGTTTTGTTTTTTCTATGCATTTTCTATATATTTTTCTTAATATAGTTTTCGCTGTTTTTATATACTTTTCTAAAAGGTGTATACAATTTTTTCTTAATTTGTAGTTCCACTGATGACGTCATATAGTTTTATGTCGAAACGTTATGAAAAATTAAAGAATAATTTATAAATGTATGTAAAAATTGAATCCAAGTGCATTTATTTATTACATTCTTGGGACATTTTTTGACATTTTTCTGTATAACTCAAAAACTTTGTCGAAGACAATCTTTTTTGGTTGGCTTAGCAGAAACTAGATAAAATTTACTATATTTTCTCATAATCAGTTTAATTTAGTCTCATACAAAATATTTGAATAAATCTAATGTGAACTTGCCTTTATTACTTGTTTTAAGTTTTCCTTACAAAATTACTGGTCATTTTTTTACATTTTGTTAAATAACTCGAAAACTTTGTCCAGCACATTCTCTTTAATTAAGCTTAGCGGAAACTAGATAAAATCTACGACTAATTAATTAATACAATGTTATATAAAATTTTTGAATAAATTAAATGTGAACTCGCCCTTATATATTGCCCTAAGTTTGCCATACAAGATTTTTTCAGAGCATTTTTTAACTTTTTTCTGAATATCTCAAAATTTTTGTCCAATACACTAGCAGAAACTATATGAAATGTACTATATTTTCCCATAATCAGTTTAATTAAGTCCCACATATTTTTTTTTAATAAATGTCATGTAAACTCGTCCTTATATATTACTCTAATAATATGTACTATACAAGTTACCTGGACATTTTTTTACATTAATCGGAATAACTCAAAAACTTTGTCCAGGACACCCTTTTTAATTTAGCTTAGCAAAAAATAGATAAATTTTACTACTAATCCATAAAACAATCTTATATACTCCGATAAGAAAATTTGGAGAAAAATAACTATTTTGACTCGTCCTTATATATCGTCCTCAGTTTTCCATACAAAGTGACTTTTTTTACATTTTTCTGAATAACTCAAAAATTTTGTCCCGGACACTATTTTTTTGGTTAGCTTAGCAGATAAAGTTGGTTAAATTTTCTTATAATCAATTTTATATAGTCTTATATAAAAAAATTGAATAAATGACTTTTGAACTTGCCCTTAGTATTGTTTTAAGTTTGCCTTACAATGTTGTAGGACATTTTTTAATTTTTTTTTGAATAACTCGAAAATTTTGTATAGGGTACTTTTTTTAGTTCGCTCGGCAGAATAGTAGTTTAATATAGTCTTATATGAAAATATTGTCTAATAATACAATGCCCTACTTGCTTTAGGAACAACGTGCGAGTTGTGCACTTAAAAGTGCATTTATTTATAACATCTCTTCTAACTTTTAAACCGTTTGTCTAAAATAAACAAAATATTTTGCAAATTTGTACAAAATTAAATGATCTATAATATTGTCTAATACCATTATGCCCTACAGCAACTCGGTATACTTAAAAACCACATCCAATTACCATTACCGTTGCATTTATCTCCGGTGTAACATTTCACCTCGAAAACGCATTAGTTCCGTATCAGCGATTTTAGAAATTGCACATTCAAGAAAAGAACTCGAGATAAAATAATAATAATAATCATAAAATAATGCAGTGTGAGAAAAACCACTGTTACAATTTACTGAATAAAAAAATGGAACTATGTTAAATTGATTTTATCTTAAGATGACACATATTTAATGGAGTGAATCATCATATTACGAAAGCTGTAACATGATTATTATCTATGTAAGATGAATTACATATATCTTAGTATATGGAATTGTAGTAAATTTTATCTAGTTTGTGCTAAACTAATGGAAAAGGAGAGTCCGGGGCGAAATTTTTGAGTTATTAAAAAAAAACTAGAAAAATGTACCGAATCCCTGTGAGACAACTTAGGACATAAGGGCGAGTTTACACTGGATTTATTCAAAATTTTAATATAAGACTGTATTTAGCCGTGTATAGAGAATTCAAGTAAATTTTATCTAGTTCTTGATGAGCTTGATATAAAAAAGACTATCTTCGAACAAGTTTTTGAGTTAGTCCAAAAAATATAAGGACCAGTTTACATTGGATTTATTCATAATTTTCATAGAGGACTATATGAAAGTCCTATTGTAAATTTTACCTAGTTTCTGCTACGCTAATTAAAAAAAGTGTCCTTGAACAAGTTTTTGAGTTTTTCAGAAAAATGTAAAAAAAATGTCACGAATCCTTGAAAGGCAAACTTAGTACAATGTATAAGCGCGAGTTCACATTTAATTTACTCAAAATTTTTATATAGGACTAAATAACACTGTGGATAAGGAAATGTAGTAAATTTTATCTAAGCTACCAAAACAAGAGTGTCCTAGACGAAGTTTTCAAAATATTTGAATAAATGTAAAAAATGTATAGAAAATTTGTATGGCAAATATATATAAAATCAATTATACAAAACTAAATTAAACTGTTTATAGGATATTTTGATAAACTTTACTTAGTTTCTGCTAAGCTAACGAAAGAAGAGTTTCCGGAATAAAAATTTTAAGTTATTTCAAGAAATGTAAGAAAATATCCCGAAACCATATATTATAGTAATATTTATGTCTATGTTCAATTGATTTTAAAGTATACCGAGTTGCTGTAGGTTACCATAATATTAAACAATATTATACATAATTCTATTTTGTACAAAATTCCAAAATATTTCATTAATTTTAGACGAACCGTTTAAAAGTTGCAAGAAATATAATAAATTTATGCATCTATAACACTCTTGGACCAAAATTATCTTTTTAAAGGCGAATTTAAAGTACCGAGTTGCTGTAGGTCATCATAATATTAGACAATATTATAGATAATTTTATTTTCTACAAATTTCTAGAATATTTCATTTATTTCAGACTAACCAATTAAAAGTCACAAGATATATAATAAATAAAAGTTTAGTCAAATCTATATGTTCTAACAGAATAAATCGTATCTCCATCTAGCGTAAATGTTCTGGTTACACAAATACTCGAATATAATTAATAAAATAATCAATTGAATCAATAAATGAGTTATTAAATATAATAAAAATTACAAAATAAGTTAAAAGTAATTAAATAAATAAATTAAAATTACCTAGTTATACAAATATACAAACTTCAGTATTAAACACTTTCAGTACTAAACACATGAACAATATTATGTTCAAAATTACTTTTTAAATTTATTTTTAATCTTATGGGTATTTAATTAAAATAATTTTATAAATTTAAGAGTTTTTTAATATATTAATGAGTCACAAAACTTAATCGCATAGAAAACAACCTATTTTTATTATTTTTACAAGAATCAAACAACCCCAGCAAAAAAGATTTATTTGATTCCTGTTCCTAATTTATCGGGGGCAATAAAATATTCTCAGGTGAAGGTTAAAGAGCACACAAATATATATATATATATATATATATTATATATATATATATATATATATATATATATATATTGATAGTTTTTTTCGACGTTGAAACATATTTCAAAGTAATAGCAGCCCATTCGTCGAAATAAAAAAGGTATAAGATAAAAACTTTTATTTATACGTTTCGACACAAGATGCGTGTCATCATTCATCAACTACAACAATTTGAAAATTTTAATTACTATGTAAGAACAAATAGATTTAATTATAGCATAGAGAACATTATACACACCACAGGAAAAAACACTCACAAAAATTTATTTTAAAAATTAAACTTAATACATATTATAGAAAACATTTTTTTATGAAAAAATTATGAATAACTAAAGA